GAATCGGTTAAAATTTAGATATAGCTAAAATATATATATATATATATATATATATATATATATATATATATATATATATATATATATATATATATATATATATATATATATATATATATATATATATATATATATCATATATACCAAATGGCCAATAACAGCCCAAATGACCGGAATTTTGGCAATTCCGACCGAATTCTGTCTATAATCTAGTACATCAAAGTTGAAAATCGGTTCAGATAAAGCTATAGCCCTCATGTATATGTTTCATCCGATTTGGTATTTCAGTCCCTTACATTCGCAATATGTATTTTTCAAAAATGTTATTTGTTACCTGATCTCAGATACAGCTCAGTAATACCTCTGCCAAATTTTTTATCAAGATCGGTTCAGATTTGGGTAACACTTACATATTTATCTTCACCCGATTTCACGGCTATTGTTCTCCATATATGTAATATTAGGTGAAATTCGCATAAATTTTCTGTGTTAGGCTTTAGTATCCATTACGGACTTCAAATACCAAATTTGAAACGATTCCGGTGAATAATGTCGCTAAAATCATCGAAATACCGAATATCGGAAGGTACCGTTATATGGGGGCTATACGAAGACGTGGACCTGCATACAAAATTTTTTTTTCATAGTCTGTAGTACCCATTACGAACTTTAAATATGAAATTTAAAATAATTCCGGTGAATAATGTAGCTAAAATCACCAAAAACCGAATATCGGGAGGTACCGTTATATGGGGGCTAAACGATGACGTTGACCTTTACAGACAATTTTCTGCCATAGGCTGTAGTATCCATTACGAACTTCACATACCAAATTTAAAACGATTCCGGTGAATAATGTCGCTAAAATCATCAAAATACCGAATATCGGGAGGTACTATTATATGGGGGCTATACGAAGACGTGGGTCTGCACAGACAATTTTCTGTCATAGGCTGTAGTATCCATTGCGAACTTCAAATACCAAATTTGAAACGATTCCGGTGAAAAATGTCGCTAAAATAACCTAAATACCGAATATCGGGAGGTACCGTTATATGGGAGCTATACGAAGGCGTGGACATACATGGCCCATTTTAAATACCACAAGTCCTGCAGATATGATTTACATTTGAGTAAAATTTTATCAACCTACTTCATTTCGTTCGGAAGCTAGAGTGATTTCCCCAGACGGATAGACGGACGGTCATCGCTAACTCGCCATAGAATTTTATGCTGATCAAAAAAATATTTCTTTTGTGGGGTTTAAAATGTATATTTCAAGGTGTTACAAACGGAATGACAAACTTAATATACCCTCCATATTTTGGTGGAGGGTATAAAAATTTGACTTTCAAGAAGCCTGTAAAAAAATTGATCAGCCATCTCCCAAAAATCTCAAATATTGGCCAATATTACCACCCATATTACACCACTTCCCCTATTTCCTTTCCTTTGGCTAATTAACAGCTAACAAATTCCGGTTCCGGCAAAAGAACGATCACCAATCGAACACACACGCACATCTACCAGCCAAGAACGAAATCAGGCAATAAATGCCAAACTTAAGTCAATGTTCTGCCAATCTTGTTGTTAATAAAACGACAACCAGCCAACCGAGCAACCAATAACCCCACCTACTACCCTGCCTACAGAGGCTCACGATGTCAATATATCATTGAACAAAAAAAAAACTACAACAACAGCAAGAAGACAAAAAAAGTTAACAGTTTAACCCATATTTGTCATAATTTTGAGACGTAGACAAACGGACATACATACAGAGGCACAAACAGACAGAGAAAGGGTGGCAAATCTTGTTGGCTTTTTCTTGTTGTTGTTGTTGGCGGCATCAGAATTATGATAATTGAGAAACCTGCCAACACTTTTGGCCAAAAAAAAAAAAAAGAAGTTGTTAAACAACCTTTTTGTGGGGGGCTTGCAAATTCTCTCAATATGTTGCAGATAGAGAGAGGCAGAAAGAGAGATAGGTAAATGCAAATGTTGGTGATGCCAAGAGAGCAAATGCATTTTATGCAGAGCTGCACGTAAACATGTTTGTTTGAGGCACCTTTACAAAGAGACTGCGAGCTGATGTTATAGCGGCAAATGGCCACTGTTTTTTTTTTGTTTCTGAGAAGGAAAACAACAACAAACCGAGAAAACCAAAAGTGTTACAACGAACGACGTTGGCGTTGCGACAACAACAACAACTGCAAAAACACCTCTACCTCTCTGTTTGGTTAACTTGTCTTCATGGCATTGGTGTTCTGTAAGAAATTCGCCATAAGAAACTGAAAATTGAATTGAAACTAAAAGTTGCTGATTTCTCGTTGTTGTTGTTGTAGTTGTTGCTGCTGCAGTTCTCAGTTGTGTGTTTTTTTGTGGAGATTTTCGTATCACACTCACAAAACACCAACAACAACAGCCAGCCAGGCAGCCACATAACAACAAAAACAGCTCACTGCAAGTTGCTGCTGCCGTAGTAGTAATGCTCGCAAGCTCGCTCAGTGTTCAACTGCAGCGGCGGCAGTTGCTGTAGCGCTAAACGGTTCCGAAAACAAATCAATTCAAGTTAATATTGAAGTAAAAATCGGTTAAAAATCATAACGAGCAGCTACGTTAAAAATAATTTTGCGGAACAAAACAATTCAAAAAAGAAAAAAATTTTAAATTTCCACGGAAAATCCATAGATCCCATAAAAGAAAACCAACTGGGAGAATCTTCAGATGTAACTTCCCAGGAAGTTAAGGGAGCGAGCGAGAGTGAGAGAGACCGGGAGAAAGTGTGTTTGTGTGTGTGTGATAAATGGAAAATAGAAAGAGAAATTTGTATGCGATCTCTAATTTCTTTCTAAGCAAAAGAGACGGCAGCCCTCTCCGACGAGGAGGGCAGCCAATGCAAATGCAACACTGCCAATATCAAATGATTGAAAATGAAAACACAGAGTTGTAATTAATAAAAAAAAACAACCAGAAATCCTAACTCAAATGCCATATTAGTTCTTAAAAAAAATTAATACTGCCAAAAATACCAAAAAAAAGAAAAAAATAAATAATAAAATAAACATTATGAAAAAAAATTAAAATAAAAATCTAGAAAATAAATCTCCTATTTGCAGAAGAAGTGAAAACAAAATTCAACAAAATGCCACAAAAATTGCAAATCAATTAAAACAAATAACAAAAGAAAAAAATATGCATTTCCATTGGAATATGTGGAGAATACGAACAGCATTTATGTCAGCATAATGAATTATTTCGAAACAAAAGAAAATTAACTTAAAAAAAAAAAATAAAAAATAGAAGAAATTTTGCAAAAATATTGAGAGAAATTCCGTAGTGCAGTGTAAGTGTAGTGAAGTTGAAAAGTGTTGTGCCCAATTCAACAGTGTCACCAAACGGCGGATAATCAAGGATATTTGGCAAAAATTACGTCCCACAAAGTAACTCAAGGAACTCAAACCATGCCTGGCTCTGCGGTGTGGTCCGGTAAGTTTTTTTTTTTAGGAAATTAGCAAAGAAACTTTCCCAGCTCCTCAAACAGGTGTTGGTGAAATACGGTGTATGAAAATAAAATTTTTTAGAATTCCAAGCGAAATTAAAAAACAAATCAGTTTCAATAGATTTATTCACAGGTTCTTTTTACATTTTTAACCTATATTTCTAATTTTAATCAATTGTTGGCCATCTGAGCTATAAGCTCTGTGACGACGTGTTTTCACTTTGAAGCTGGGGTAGGTTCAGCGGGGGCCAGAGTCGTCACAAAAATTTATTTGTTAGGACATAAAGAGAGAGAGAGAGAGCGAAGCAAAAATATTTTCTTACAACGTTATAAATTTATTTCCTTAAATAACACTAAACACTACACTCAACACAATAAAATCACGTTCAGAACGTTTTACGAAGAACACTAAATCACAAAGTTCAGTCGAAATGTTAATAAACGGGTAGCAGTGGTGGCAGCTTGGCACAGCGGCGGCCCGATGAATAGGCGGGCGACGAATAGAGTGGCGGCAGCTTGGCACAGCGGCGGCCCGATGAATAGGCGAGCGACGAATAGGGTGGCGGCGGCTTTGGCACAGCGGCGGCCCGATGAATAGGCGAGCGGCGAATAGGGTGGCGGCGGCTTTGGCACAGCGGCGGCCCGATGAATAGGCGAGCGGCGAATAGGGTGGCGGCGGCTTTGGCACAGCGGCGGCCCGATGAATAGGCGAGCGACGAATAGTAGTGGCGGCAGCTTGGCACAGCGGCGGCCCGATGAATAGGCGAGCGGCGAATAGGGTGGCGGCGGCTTTGGCACAGCGGCGGCCCGATGAATAGGCGAGCGGCGAATAGGGTGGCGGCGGCTTTGGCACAGCGGCGGCCCGATGAATAGGCGAGCGACGAATAGTAGTGGCGGCAGCTTGGCACAGCGGCGGCCCGATGAATAGGCGAGCGGCGAATAGGGTGGCGGCGGCTTTGGCACAGCGGCGGCCCGATGAATAGGCGAGCGGCGAATAGGGTGGCGGCGGCTTTGGCACAGCGGCGGCCCGATGAATAGGCGAGCGGCGAATAGGGTGGCGGCGGCTTTGGCACAGCGGCGGCCCGATGAATACGTCAGCGGCGAGTAGTAGTGGCGGCAGCTTGGCACAGCGGCGGCCCGATGAATAGGCGAGCGACGAATAGGGTGGCGGCGGCTTTGGCACAGCGGCGGCCCGATGAATAGGCGAGCGGCGAATAGGGTGGCGGCGGCTTTGGCACAGCGGCGGCCCGATGAATACGTCAGCGGCGAGTAGTAGTGGCGGCAGCTTGGCACAGCGGCGGCCTGATGAATACGCGCACGACGAATCGGGTGGCGGCAGCTTTGGCACAGCAGCAGCCCGATGAGTACGTCAGTCGCCGTCAACGCAGCCCGAAGAATAGGGAGTATTGCTACAGCCCTCACTCGACCCTGCGTTCAGTCGCCGTCAACGCAGCCCGAAGAATAGGGAGTATTGCTACAACCCTCACTTGACCCTGCGTTCAGTCGCCGTCAACGCAGCCCGAAGAATAGGGAGTATTGCTACAACCCTCACTTGACCCTGCGTTCAGTCGCCGTCAACGCAGCCCGAAGAATAGGGAGTATTGCTACAACCCTCACTTGACCCTGCGTTCAGTCGCCGTCAACGCAGCCCGAAGAATAGGGAGTATTGCTACAACCCTCACTTGACCCTGCGTTCAGTCGCCGTCAACGCAGCCCGAAGAATAGGGAGTATTGCTACAACCCTCACTTGACCCTGCGTTCAGTCGCCGTCAACGCAGCCCGAAGAATAGGGAGTATTGCTACAACCCTCACTTGACCCTGCGTTCAGTCGCCGTCACCGCAGCCCGAAGAATAGGGAGTATTGCTACAACCCTCACTTGACCCTGCGTTCAGTCCAGTCCAGTCACCACAAATAGTCAAGGCTTATTGTTTGGCTTACTAAGACTCAATTCAACCAAGGTTGCGCGCCTTTTCTTCCTCCCAATCACACTTGACTTACCAGCCATCAACAGAAGACTGATGTCGATTGTGTGAAATGCGTCTCCTTTTATACCTTTTTGGCTGGACAACGATTGTTGTTTTCTCATGACAGCAGCTGATCCCAATCTGACAGTTTTGCGTAGTTCCGCCATTTGCCACCAGGGGTTCCAATGTTGTATTTTAAGTATACTTCTTTCCACTAGGGGACGTAAAAATGGTATTTAAAATAATAATGTACCCCAAAAACGAAAGCATGACTTTTGGGCGTTACATGGCATCTCTTCCTCCCTCTGATTTTTGATTCCTTGATTTGCTTTCTCTATTGCTATTGGGTTTCAATAGCCAGGAAGCCCTAGGGTGTTATGTAACCTTTTATTTCTCCGACATGGGCACTTTGGTTCGACTATATCTCGGTCGAATAGGAAGGTATGTTAGAGACCAATTGCAGAAGTTCGGAGAGATACCTTCACTACCCCGTCTGCTGATATTATTATGCGGTACTGCTTGCCATCTTGTTTAACAATTCGCTTCAGTTTGTGTCCCTTTTTCCAATTGTTTTTAAACTTCTCGATACGGATTTGTAGGTTTTCGGGATAATTTGGCAGTTCGAGAAATGTGTTATCGTTCACGGGATTGTCTGTCGAGGACGATGGCGTTGACTCAGTTGGGATTTCAGTGACTGGCAATTTGATTGTACTTGGTGTACTATTATTCTCCTTACTGGGTATAAACACTTCATCGATGGAAGGTTGACTGCTACACAATGTTGGCTGATGAGGTGTCATCGTTTGGCTTGTGGATGATGATGAAGACGACGAGGCTGATGAGGATGAGGATGACGATAAAGACGACGAGGCTGATGAGGATGAGGATGACGATCGGGAAGATATCGATGGTCTTTGAAGTATGGGCTTATATTAGGACACTGATTAGTTTGGGTATTGTCAATTTAATGTCTAAAAATAAAATAAGAAATTATAATGAAATGGCATCACATAAACGTAAGTGGAACTACAATCAACATTCTACTTCTATGTCTACAATTTAATTTTGTTCTTCATAAAAAGGCTTAATTTCACTTAAGTGCGCGACACGGGTGATGTTGTCTTTTCCTTGGACTACAACGATTACTGGAGATTGGAATTTTTGTACGACAAACGGCCCTCCGTATTTGGGCGCTAGTTTGGCGGCGAAATTTTCGACGGCCTTCGACTGAGGATGTAGACGAACTAGAACTTGCTCCCCAATCTTTGGTTTCCAAACTCGTCGTCTAAGGTTGTACTGTCTCCGCTGGTTTTGAGATGCTTTTGCCAAGTTTCGACGCACTATCTTAAATATTTCTTTCAACTCCTGGGCACGGTCTTCTGGTAAGACTATTCTAGCACCAGTTCCTGTTGTGAGCTGATCATATAATGCCTGGGGCAGTCGCGGTTCTCTTCCTTGTGTCAGGTATGCCGGCGAATATCCAGTGGATTCTGATGCACTAGTGTTTATGGCTAACATTATTTCGGGCAGCATATCGTCCCATGTATTATGTTGTTTCGAAACTTGTGCTATCATTGTTTTCACTGTCCGATTTGTCCTTTCAGTAGGGTTCTCTTGCGGGGTGTAGGGAGCCGTAAGTTGATGCTTTATACCCATTTCTGCTAGGAATTTTTCGAATTGGTTGCTAGTGAATTGGGTTCCGTTATCGGTTATCAATATTTTTGGAACCCCATATCTAGAAATAATTCTTTCTCTGCATGCCTTTATTAATCCCTCTGTCGTAGCCTTCCGCAATGGAACCAACTCCGTCCATTTTGAGAATCTATCCATAATAACGAGTAGCATTGAGTTACCGTGCTTAGATCGCGGTAGGGGTCCTACGAAGTCCGCACAAATAGTGGCCCATGGTTCCTCCGGGATTCTTATCAACATTTCCCCTGCTGGTTTCTGTTGGCTGAATTTATATTTTTGGCAACATTCGCACTGCTGGACATAACGTTTGATGTCCTGGAACATACCAGGCCAAAAATATCGGTTCGCCACCTTGTTGCTAGTCTTTCGCACTCCCAAATGACCTCCGGTGACACTGTCATGATTTTCTCTAAGGACCTGAATCCTTGATCCGGTGGGCACACACAGCTTCCATGGTGTGCAATCTTCATCGTTTATTTGCTTGGGAAAATGTCGATAAACATTTCCCTCAATGATTGTATAGTCTGGATACTTCTTCGGATTCTTGGTTATGGTTTCCTTCAACTTTTCTAGCCATGGGCACGGACTGGTGTCATATTTTACTGTGGCTAGGTCTAACGTTTCCAAAGGTGTTCTCGAAAGCGCATCCGCCACAACGTTCTGTTTTCCTCTACGGTATCTGATCAAAAAATTATATTGCTGTAGCTCGAGAGCCCAACGTGCGAGTCGACCTGTAGGGCTTTCAATAGAATTTAACCATTTTAGGGCCAAATGATCGGTAATAACTATAAACTGGTAACCCTCTAAATAGGGTCTCATGTGTCTGATGCCCCACAGTATGGCTAGACATTCCTTTTCAGTCGCTGAGTAGTTCTTTTCAGCCTGTTTTAAATGTCTGCTGGCGTAGGCTATGACACGTTCCACGTTATCTAACTCCTGTGTTAGAACTGCTCCAAGGCCATAGTTGCTGGCATCAGTTTGCAATATGAACGTCTTTGTGAAATCCGGACAAGCCAGAACGGGGGCTTCAGTTAACTTTGCTTTTAGGTCTGAGAATGCTTCTTGTTGTTCGGGACCCCATTTCCAATGTTTTCCCTTTTTAAGAAGACTAGTCAATGGTTGTGAAATTGTTGCAAACTGTGGGACAAATCTTCGGTACCAAGATGCTACTCCAAGAAATCTTCGTACCTCCTTTACCGATGTTGGAGGTTTCATTTCCACTATTGCGGCAACTTTATCTGGATCCGTCTTTATTCCCTCGCTACTCACAACATGGCCTAAATACTTCGTTTCTTTTCTGAAAAATTCGCATTTCTCAATGTTTATTCTCAGGTTAGCTGCTCGCAATCTTCTGAACACTTCTCTCAAGTTCCGCAAGTGTTCCTCAAACGTTTTTCCAATGACGATGATATCGTCAAGGTATGCAAAAGCGTGGGGGTCCATTTCAGGCCCAATCACACTATCTAATGCCCGTTGGAAGGTTGCCGGTGCTGAATGCAAACCGAAAGGCATCACTTTCCACTGATATAGACCTTTACCAGCTACCGCAAAGGCCGTGTATTTTCTGCTCTCCTTCGCCATAGGTATTTGCCAATATCCGTCTTTAAGGTCCAGGCTACTCACGTATTTGGCATCCCGTAGTCGATTCAGTATTGTGTCGATGCGGGGTAAAGGGTAGGCATCTGGAACAGAACGTTTATTCCATTGGCGAAAATCCATACAAGTTCTCCAATTCCCATTTTTCTTTCTGACTAATGTGATGGGGAAACAGTATGGGCTTGTAGACGGCTCTATACATCCTCGTTCTTCGAGCTTTCTCACTTCGGCATTAATCACGGCTTGCATTGCAGGATTTCGCGGAGCATATCTTAATTTAATGGGTCGATCGTCGGTCATTACAATCTTATGTTCAGCTATTGACGATAGGCCATTTAATTGTTGGAACTTAGGGAGTTCCTGTGCCAGAAAATTTTCAACGATCTCACATTGCGTTTTACTCAATTCATCGTTTAAGAATTTAGGTCTGGGGGATACATTATTCGTAGCTGTCATTGTATCTATTACCTCTTTTGATGGGGTTTCCTCTCCTATAGCCACGGTACAATGCTCCGTTGATGTGGTTGGCTTACTTAATTTGACACTTATACCGGCGCAGTGAATGGTCGTGTGGAACTGTTTTAGAAATTCCAATCCCAATATGATGTTTTCCTTGAATTGCGGCATGATGAGAAATGTAACATCTGAGCTTTGGTTCCCAAATGTAACAGGTAACACTGTTGATCTTGTGATGTTCACCGTGGTGCCGTCTGCGAGGATAACATTTGCCTCATGCCGTGAATAAGTAAACCTTTTCTTGATTTTTTTCGCAAATTCTCTTTTTATAAAACAGCTAGTGGCACCCGTGTCGACATTTGCTTTAATAGCTTTCCCCTCTATTAAGACAGTTGCAGTAAGGCGATATTCTTCACATTGCAATGAGGTAATATTCTGGTTACTCTTCTTTGCCGGGGGTTCATCCTGCTGCGTTTCTGGATTGGATGAGCTTTCGTTTAGCACTTGGTCACCTTGATTGGTGCAATACAGGTTATTTCTAGAGTTGTCCGCACGTCGATTATAGTTTTGTTGATTTCGAGGCTGTTCTGACCGAGAATTATTTGGTATGCTTTCGAGTTCGTCTGCCAAGGAGATCAATTCCGAAAGTGTGGTAAAGTCTTTACGGCGAATGTACCATTGATAATCCGAATGCGCGTTTCTAAAAATTCGTTCCAATTTTTGTTCTTCGGTCATATTGGTGTGCTGCATAAGATGCTGTATAGAGAGTACATATTCCTTAAACGGCTCCTTATTACGCTGTATCCTTCTCCTAATTTCATCCTCCAATTTCTCAAAGTATCTCGGTGGCAAAAAGAATTTCAGAAAATCACTCTTAAATTCGTTCCAGGTAGTCCAGTGTCGGTTGTTGTTCCTTAGCCAGATTAAAGCTTTACCTCGTAACAACTCTGGCATTACTTTAATTATTTGATTCAATTCCACGATGTACATTTCAGCCATTTCTTCTACACGTTCTACGAATCCAATAGGGTCCATTCCATTTTCAAAAGTAACATTCCATTTTCGGATTTGGTCGAGAATTACGAGTAACGACGAATTATTGGATGGCTTGGGCGGAGAATCTTTTTGAAATCCATATTCGGGGTTTGTTGGCGACATCTTCTGTACTTTTTGATCGTTTGTTACCCCTGTGCTTGACTCTCCAGGTGGCC